AATCACATCACCGGAATGAGATAAAATCACATCACTGCAGTTGTCGATAATAGGTTCGAGTGACGACATGGTTATTGGTGGTGGTATGTAAATGGCACCAATTAAAATCGCTTTATCCGTCGAAATATTTACTGATATCAACAAATCCTCTCCAGTGCTATCATAGTGAAACATTCTCTTCGAGTGGTACTTAACGGAAACGGCGATCAAAACGCCTCCGCCACCTTTTCCGGCCAGGCTGGTTGATTGGCGATCTCTACGGTATACATAATAGTTGTTGCTAAATAGCTCGTCATCGTAAACGCTGTCATCCAACCAGGTTTCAGTCCCAACAATAACATCGTAGTCTCCCAACAACGTTGCAAGTCTCAAGTCTTTAGTTTTAGTTTTCAGGCCTATGAAATTTTGGTAATAAATCTTTAAGGTAGCCATTTTTATGCGTTAATCAATTCCCGTTAAAAATGTCCAAGTATTATTATAGTGTGTTTAGGTTATCGTAACACTTTATTTGTTTTGCAGGGGGCTGGTCATTTTTTCTAACAAAAATGCGGCCATTACGGATCCAGACGAAATCGTATTGCTTTTCTCGAGCAACTTGACGAGTCCGCGCGTGTAGAGCTTTAAAATACGGCGCTAGGTGTTCGGAGACGAAAATAGGCGACTTGTTTTCTATATAACCAATATGTCCTGTGTTTAGTTTATTGGATGCGTTCTTTTTATTAAATTATGTTACCGCTGCTAGTATCTCATCACGAGTTTTTTACTAAAGGAAGTTTTATAATAATTGCGCGGGGCCTCTTATTTGTGTCGTTCATCTTCCTAACTCTGGTACAGGTAGCTGTTTCGATGAGATCGGTAGGAATAGATACAGTATTGCATATTTGTTTGGCAACATTAATTAACTTCTCAGTCTTACTTTCCAGAGCACCATTCACTTCAATATTCGTCTCACGCGAGTATTGCTCAAGTAAAACAAGTCAATTTAATAATTCGTTCACTTTTGTATGTAAGTTGCTGTTTTCAGCTGAAAGCGACTTTATGTGCTCTTCCGACGTTTTTAATTCTTTTTCATTCTATCATATTCCGCACTTAAAAATTCAAGCCTGCTTTTGATATCTTTTAAGGAACTTAACTCCTCTTTTATAGTTCTTAAATCCATTTTTATACATGACTCCTCTATAGCTTGATTTAAAAAAAATTCCATTGATGATTTAATTTCTGATCTAATTGTTAGCATTAAGGATTCATCTGCGGGTTGTGTAGGTGAACTCGCCTTCTGATTACTAGGTAGTTGAGGTTTTTTACGCTATGTTATGTAATCATTGTTAGGAGTACTAATTTCCTGCGACGAATCACCACGGTCGCGCGGGCCCGTTCTGGACTGAATGGGGGTGTTTAAATTGCCACCTTTTCGCGCTTTATTCCTATAACCAGGGCAGATCCATTTCTCTTTCTTGTCTTTCTCCAGCAGCATAAAGCGTTGGTGAGAGATATTAGCGCAAACTGTGTCATATATATCTTTGCAAAGTGAACATGTTACAAAATCCTTATTAGTTATTTTGTTTAAACATCCCGCGCACAATTTTGTTTTTGAAGCCATAGCACCATAGGTATTTACCGTGTGTACGTTAGTTGTTGGTTCCTTTAGCGAAACTGTTTTTTCGGAGTGCTTTCGCTTAAAGTTAATGGCAAAGTAAGACGGTCTGACACTAGGAGTACTAGGCGCACATAAACAAGTATTCTTAAATAAATCAAAATTATTATAATTGCAAAGTAAGAAGGTCTGACACTGACTGGCTCTAACAGGACTGACCAAAAAGAGCGTAGCTAAGAAGATGGCCGCTACGAGTTGCGTAGCAGATGGTCAGTGCGAGGCTGGACGGTGCGTGCGTAGCCGGCTCAGCAATGATTGGTCGCCGCGATATTGTGATGGCAGTTGGGCGGGGCGCTGCTTGTTGTTTGTGATATCGCGCTTCGCAGGTGACGTCACTAACTGAGAGCTCTATTTACTTTGTACGCTCCTATTTTTTAATATAATTAAAAACTGTTTTAAATTTAACTTAATTTTTAAAATAAAATGACGATAACTTGAATACCTACGTGTGCTCGCTGCCGAGGTCCGAGGGGAAGGATGGTTTTGGCTGCATTACCCCATATTTCTAATAAATAATCAATTTGTGGTTTAATCATGATATTACAAATCGTATACCGTACAGAAACTGGAAGACAGCGCGCAATAAATACCCTTTATCATACCCATTAGAGATGTCAGCTTGGATTTGATTTTTAGAATGTGCGGGAGCCAAGTTAAAATAAGACCTAGATACTTTTCTTGATCCGCTTTATTAATTTTTATGACATTAATCATCAACGGACTACAGTCATCAATCGTTTTGTTTTTTACAGCGAAAATCATATAACTGGTTTTGGTTGTGTTTATCGTCAAAAGATTGCTCTGTGACCATTCGTTTAGCGAATCCAAATCATTTTGTGTTTCTGATACAATAGATCCGATTGAGTGACCATAACAAAAAAGACACGTATCATCAGCGTACATGTATCTTATTAATACTATTCATACATACATATACATAAACACTCACGCCCATCACCCAGAGGGGTAGGCAGAGACTACAGACTTCCATTTGGCACGATCCTGACACACCTCTCTCGTCTCCTTCACATCCATACACCTACGCATACATGCTCGTCGGTTAAGGGTACTTCTAATTTGGCCCGTTTTCAATAAATTGCCAATTTGGTCGATACATTTTCGCCTAGGACATCCCTTTCCGACTCTGCCATTCACTTCTGCAACATAAATTTTCTTTGTCACTCTTTCCTCATTCATTATTTCCACATGACATATCATAATACTGTTCATGTATATAAGAAATAGTGGGGCCCCCGAGATAGAGCCCTGAGGTACACCAAAAGCTACTGTTCTACAAGAACTTTGTGTTTTATCTATTTTATCTACTTGTTGGCGATTACTTAAATAAGATTAGAAAATAGCTAATGCACTGTTTGTTAAACCGATCTTAGCAAGTTTTTTATAATAACAGTTTAGCTTAACTTATGTTTATGTTTAACTTATAATAGCAGTAAGTTTTTTACAATTTTGTATAATAGCAACTCGTGGCTCACTGTGTCAAAGGCTTTTTTCAGATCTATAAATACACCAAGTGCAATTTTTTTCTTGTCTAAATTCAACTTTATTTTCGTTATGAGGTCTACTGTAGCGGATAGTGTATTTGATTTTGATTTAAAACCATATTGTTTCTAACTTAGGAAATTAATTGACGTTAAGAATATTTCAAGCCGATTGTAAATGATTCTTTCAAAGACTTTTGAGATTACCGGTAATACTGATATCGGACGGTAATTCCCAATGTCTAGTTTTGATCCAAATTTGTAGATTGGGGTTATTTTGGCAATTTTAAGACTATCAGGGAACACTCCAATCTTTAGACATTTATTAATGCATTCGGTTAATTCTTCTATTATAAGACTGAATATATGAAGATTGCTTTAGGACTAATACCGTCTAAGAAATTTCATCTACGGTTGTTGGTGCTAAGTGGCTAAGTTTTTGCGAGTTAAATCCAGAAGTACCCTCATTTTCATTATTGTAGCTTAAGTAAGGTTTTTTTATTTGATTTACTAAATTCGAGCCAACACTGGCGAATAATTCATCAAAAAATTCTCAGATTTCATCTGTATTAGTTAGTATCAGTCCATTTTGATCCTTCAACTTACTTGGGAATGTTGCTTCTTTCAATTTATTATTTGAAAGATTTATCAAATTCATTTAAATTATTAAACAAACTCCACATTTTTGCTGGTTTATTTTTACAATTTCTAAATGATTTAAAGTAGTATTTGGCTTTAGTTTTCTTTATATTTTCTGTAACTTTATGTCTTTTCTCTATAAATTTATTTTTGATAATAAGATTGTTGGGGTTCTGTTTATATTGTTTCTATAGGATATTTCTAGTATTTATTTCTTCAAATATTTCTTTATTTATCCAGTCTTGACGCGGTGGGTTTAAAATCTTTTCTTTAGCAATGATACTCTTTCTTATACTGTCTAACACCCTTTTTTGGAGTTTATCATACGATTTAGATTCATTCGTTTGTTTGTCATTTTGCATAATTATATGCAATTTTGCGTAGTTTAGAGCTTCATATGGTAATTTACTGGGAGGAGCTGGCTCATATTTTAACTCGATATATATATATATATATATATATATATATATATATATATATATATATATACTTCATTTATTTTCCTTAAGGTTAGTACATAGATGGTCAATAATGGTTTTAGTTGTTTCAGTTTCTCTAGTGCAAAACTTTGGGTCCATCTTATTTGTAATTTTGTAACCATTTTCTTGCAAAGTTTCTTTATAAGCAAGGGTTCCATGATCATTGGAAATTAGATTGAAATTAAAATCACCAATAATAATTGCTCTTTTACGTTTATATATTTGAGCAGAATATTCATTCAAAAACTGTTCCGAATCTGGTTTTCTATATACGGTTGCAATTCACTTCCGTTCAGTTCCGCGCGCGCATCTATCCGTGACGCACGTGTGATCGATTGCGAAATTGTGTTAGGAGTAAAAATGTCGAGTACAGTGAAGTGTGTTAGCTGTAATATCGTAATTGATGAGCTTCTGTCTTATGTACAGAATAAAATATCGATAGCTGACGAAGAAAGCTTGGTTAAAATTTGTGCATCATCTTTTACGAGTGAACAAATTCAAAAATCCCATACGTTATTATTTTAATCGGTACCGTCCGAGCTACGAAAAATTGTGCGTAAAGGAAAAGGAAAGGATTATCCTTTCCTGTATAACATACTCAACTTTTTTAAAGTCACGGATCCTGATAAGCTGCCTATTTTTATAGCTAGGGACCTTGAGAAGCTACCACCCAAAACTTTCGACCACTTAGATGTCTCCAAGTTTTTAAAAGATCTTGTACGTATATAGTCTGAAATTAAGGAGATTAAATCGACGTACGTAACGGTTGAGCAGCTAGAGGATTTAAAGAAAGAGTTATGTAATTTAAAAAATAACTCGCCACCTTTCACAGCGGCTAGGATCAACATCAAGAGAGGCACGTATCGTGACAGCGGCCCTATAGGGTTATCGCTTTTCTATGAGTCGACTGTTAATAGTAGTGAAGGCAAACCTAGCTGTGAACCTTCAACAGCTAAGGAGTATAGTTTAAAAAATATAAAAATTTACAAAAAGCAGTCTGAAGGCAGTAGTGAAACATTATCTGATGCAACATTTCAACAAACGCCTGGCTCAGTGACGGGTTGTCGCAGGGACGACGCGAACCGCGATGAGTCACAGCCTATCGTAAGTGACCGTAATCGGCTGTCGCCTAACCACCAGTCAGATGGCATTGGAACGACGGATAATGAGTCGTATGCGCAAGTGACTTTAAAGTCTAGTAATGAGTGGACAGTTGTTCAGAGGAAGGGAAAGAAATCCAAAAATCGCGTTGAAGGAAAATCAGGGATAGCTGTGGTAGAAGCGGATGAGATGTTTAGAGCAGCGGAAAGAAAAACTCCTCTGTTTATATCCAATGTGCATAAAATACTTCCGAAGCAGACATCGTTCGATATATCAACAAGATGACACAAGAGACAGTCAAGTTAGAAAAAATATCCATCAGGCGTCAATGTGACTACAACGCATATAAATTCTTCGTGGCACAAAATAAACTATCACTGTTTTTGGATGAGAAAATATGGCCACAAGGGATAATTTTCCGTCGCTTTATTAATTTCAAACTAAAGCGTAAAACTGAAACTTCTGGTAAAGAAGACGGCGCCACAAATTTAAATAAATAAATAATGGATAATAATACATACAGATTTGTTACTTTTAATTGTAAAAACGTGAAACGCTCCATAGATAACATACGCGATCTTTGTAAGAATATGACATTATAGCATTACAAGAGACATGGTTATTCACAGAGGAAATTGATTTTCTGAGCATCATAAGTAAGGATTTCAGCTATACGGGGGTGTCGGCGATGGACACAAAGGCGGGCCTGATAAGGGAGCGACCATACGGAGGTGTAGCTCTGCTGTAGCGTTTTTAACGATGTTACCGTTATTTAGTGTGATAACCCGCGTTTATGTGATATTAAAATAATTTCAAAAGAAAGGTCATTTTTAGTGATGTGCATGTACATGCCAACAGACGAGGCAGTCAACATGGTGGAGTTTAGGTACGGATTTACTTAGTTCGGTGAGTGCCATTGTAGACAGCTGTAGCATAGACTGTGTGTATGTACTGGGGGACTTTAATGCTCATCCCTATAAACGATTTTATAACGAATTATCGAGCTTTTGTATTGATCAAGAGTGGTCTTTCATTGATATTGATATGTTAGGTATATCATCTAATACGTATACATTTGTTAGTGATGTCCATGGGTCGAAGAGTTGGCTCGATCTCTTTCTGGTGACTAAAGCGGCGATAAAGTCCATACAAAATGTCTGTTATTTATGATGTGTTTTGGCCAGACCACAACCCACTTGTAATAGAATGTAATTTAAATATCGTTTCGCCTGTAAAATTACCTAACTGTATTAGTCAGAATCTAGTTTTTTGGGGGGAGAGGACGCCTGAACAAATAAACATATTATATCGGAATGAATGTCGTAAAAAGTTACGGCTCATTGACTACCCAAATGAATTGCATAAATGTAGCGATAACATGTGTTCTGATATTAGTCATACAATTGTTATTGATAATTTGTATAAAAATATTGTAATTGCTCTAAAGGCGTCCTCCGTAGTAGGACGTAACTGTAAAAAATCGAAAAATAAGGTAGTTGTGGGCTGGAACAGGCATGTTGCGGAAGCACATCGAAGGGCCAGGTTAAAGTTCCACCTGTGGGAGTGGCATGGTAAATCTACTTCTGGTAATGAGGAAATGTGTGAAGCTAGAAAAATATTTAAATCTCGCTTGAAGTGGTGTCAAGATCACGAAAATCAAGTTAAGATGGATATTCTAGCTTCACATCATTCGAAAAATGATTTTCGCTCTTTTTTGGAAACATACCAATAGGTTACAATGTAAACCGGGCCTGCCCGTGAGCATTAGTGGTGTAAGTGAGCCTGAGAAAATTCCCAACTTATTCGTAGATCATTTTGCAGTTAAATCTCCTCTTGGGGCTTCACGCTCGTTACTAAATACGGTGCATAACAAAGAAAAAAAAATAACTTTTACAATTAAAGAAATAGATCAGGTAGTTAAATCTATGTCTAGAGGTAAATCCCCTGGCCATGATGGGCTCAGAATCGAACATCTCAAGTTTGCTGGCCCGCACCTACGTAGGGTACTATATTTATTATTTAATCTCTGCCTAGAGCTGAACTGAGCCGTGGTAGCTCAGTGGTTAACGCTCGCTGTAAATATAACATAACGCAAGTAACCCGGGTTCGATCCCAGCCGGCACCAATGAAATTGTTAATTGCAATTTTAAGTGCTGATTTACCACGTGCTCGGCGGTGAAGGAAAACATCGTGAGGAAACCTGCATGTCTGAGTAATAAGAAAAAAAAATATTTCGAATACATGTGAAGTTTGTCAACACGCATTTGGGCAGCGCGGCGGACACTTCCTTGCCCTAAACCCTCTCAGAAATGAGGGGAGGCCTGAGCCCAGCAGTGGGACGTATATAGGCTGTAACTTTACTTTACTTTACTCTGCCTAGGACATGGATACATGCCCCCTGACATATGTACAGTTGTAGTGCCTATAGTGAAGAATAAAACAGGCGATCTCGCGGATAAAAACAACTATAGACATATATCGTTAGCAACTGTCATTTTAAGTGTTTGATGGTGTGCTTAATTCGCAATTAAATAAATACATAAAACCATACGACAGTCAATTTGGGTTCAGACCGAAATTGTCTACAAAAAGCGCGGTGTTGTGTCTTAAGCACACTGTCTATATGCGGCCTACGAAGACTGGTGAAGATTTGTGAAGCTTTCGCCCTCACACATGGTTTGACTTATAATGTAAAAAAGAGCCACGTCATGGTCTTTGAGACCGGGAGTAAGAGACATGACTTAGTACCATCAGCGTTTGGGTATAAATATCTTGGCCATGTTCTGACTCCTCGTCTCAGGGATGATGATGACATTGAGAGGGAACGGAGGGCGTTGTCAGTAAGAGCGAACATGATAGCTCGCAGGTTTGCACGCTGTTCAAGGGAAGTTAAAATAGCCCTATTTAGAACTTACTGCACGTCATTTTGACTGGCCTGTTGGTCCAGTGGTTAGTGAACCTGACTGCTATGCCGGAGGTCGTGGGTTCGATTCCCACCCAGGTCAAATGTTTGTGTGATGAGCACGATCATTTGTTCTGTGTCTGGGTGTAATTTATCTATAATATTTATGTATTTAGAAATATATAAGTATGTTTATCAGTTGTCTTGTACCCATAACACAAGCTCTGCTTAGCTTGGGACTAGATGGCGTTGTGTGATAGTTGTGGAATATTATTATAGTTGTGGAATATTATTATTATTATTTTACACGTGCAGCCTGTGGGCTAGATATACTCAAAAGGCTTACAACGCCTGCCGAGTACAATACAACAACGCATTTAGGGTGCTGCTGGGACTGCCTCGCTTCTGTAGTGTATCGGGGATGTTCGCGGATGCGCGAGTGGACTGTTTTTACGCGACCATGCGCAAGAGGTGCGCGTCTCTGGTGCGCAGGGTGCGGGGGGAGTAACAATAGTATTCTGAAAGTGATTGCTAGCAGGCTGGACTGCCTATACATGTGCCATTGTAGCGCCATATCGGATTGTGAAAATGGCCTTGTATTTTTTTTGTACTTCACATAATTATATATAATAATAATATTATGCTTACTAACATAGCTATAACTTTAGTTATAAGTAATACTAACAAAATATGAGCCTTGGTTGCTTGAATAAATGAAATGAAAAAAAAATCCATAGAATATTTTTCGAGATGAATCCAAAGGAAATGGTTACCATCCAAATATGTGTCATCACAAAAATCGATACACCACCACGTCTTCCTGTGTTTCTGAAATTATAGTAGTGGCTGTAGTTTGGGATCACAAAACGTTTTGCTTCCTCTTCAGATTTTATCCAAGTTTCAGTTAAATTAATGATGTTGAAAGTATTTTCAAACATTTTTAGTATGCATTGTAACTCATCAAACTGCCCTGGTGCGACACTGCTGCGTATGTTAGTATAGTATATTTTTAATGTTTTCTTATATGAGATAATGTGTTTGTAGTCGTCAACTAGTTGGTAAGTGTTTACGTTGTTATCCTCTTCTTTATGATTAGTATAATTTTCTATTGTGAGTTTTTTGTGAAACTTTTTACTATTTTTGGCACACTTTTATACTACTGAACATTTTATTGAAATATTTTCCTCTCTGTTATTCTATCATTTATCTCTTGAGTAAGCTCCTTTAAGTATAATTTTTGTTGTGGTGATTGGTTTGAATATATCCTTATTTTATCATCATTTAACTTTTTCTTGTTCTTCAATATGGATTTAGCGATATCTTGAGATTCAAAGAAAATTTTGATTGGATGATATTTACCAGATATATACTTACCAAGTCGTACAATTTTTTTCGGTAAGGGACAAGTTCCATCTTGTATCATATTTTTAATATTTTCATTACTTCTCCTTTGTCAAATTCCATTCTATGTTCTTTGTCCAGTGATGTACTTTCAGAGATTCCAATTATAACGATATTTTTGCTTTTATATTCACGCTCATTTATTTCGGCCATGATTTTTTCGGTTCCGTAAGATAGGAAAGATGTTCCTGTATTTGTTTTAAGGTTCTTAATTTCGGATTCAAGAAGCCAGATCTGAGTTTGAAATATCAGATTTTATTATTATGTTTATATAAACAATGCTATAAACATTACTAATATTTCCCTTAACCACTCGTGGTTAGCTTAAATTGCTTGTGTTACGAGTGGTTCACGCCAGTAGTCGAATTGCGGATTCTAACCCACGACCTTTTTGAGTTCGCGATCCGCGCCCTGTCATTAGGCTACTAACATGTTTTATTGTAGACTTCATCTCAGTAATTTGTTCTTTCAAGTCTGCTACATCTGAAGATATTTTTTCCATGAATTCCTTTTGGTTTGTGCAAATTGTAGTAAGCATCGACATGATCCGTGACATTTTGTTAGTCAATTCGCATACTTCCTTTTTTATCACTGTTATGTGTTCGTTTTCTTCTGGTAATTTTCTTTTATTACGAAAAGTGACTATTTTAGATTCATTAAGTTGTGAATCGCTAAGTGTATCTCTCAAGTCACTTCTTGTAGGCGAGCGTAGAATGTTCATTTTTATATCTGTCTATCCACAAGGTATGGTATGAATGACTCACGTGCTGTTTACTCAATACGCTCCGTCGTCGTAAGTATTGTCACAGTGATTCAACCGATTATAGCACTATTGTTATTAGTAATACGTTTGTATGTAGCCCGGTAGTTGAGATTAATATTTTGTAGAAAAAGCAACAAAAGTGAAAAGGCGCGAAAACCGTGAACATGCACGAAGCCCGTGAAACGGGCGCGAAAGCAATCCACATTCGCGGTTCACGCCTTTCACAGGTGTTCACGGCGTGAATATGTAGGGCGCCTAATGTATTGGCAAAAATTACCTTCGTATGCTAATGATATTGTAACAGTTTTTTTAGTGCCTGAAAACACGGATAAAACAACAGTTTCTAAAAACGAATCCTAGCTAGATCGATTTATTCGTTTAAATGTATTAATATTATATAGATAAAGACTTTGTATTTGTATTTGCAACAATAGCATCTAGAAGTAGCAATGTCGTGTTTAGTTGTTAATATCGCCAAACAATCTCTTTTCATTGACTTGGTCAAGCTTTATCATCATATAGTCAACAAACAAAATTTTATGAAATACCGCCATTTCACTTTCAATAATCGCCTAATTTATGATATTATAAATTCTAAGATATTATCAATACATATATAAAAATATTTTATTGAAACTATAAGGATAATAAGAGTTTTGTACTAATTGCAATTTTTATCAGTTTATTTATAGATAAAAAACTAAACACTAAAACTTTTTATTGATTAAAAATTTAACTTAGAAACATCGTTAAATTTATGATTTCCGATAGATGTCACTATTATATTTTTTAGAAGTAATTTGTTAGTATAAAATTTAATACTATCTACAAAAATGAAATAACAAAAACTAAAAATGTACATTAGAATTTTCAAATAAAACAACTATATAAATGCTATTATTATTTAATTTCTTAATGGAGGAAAATGTCATTACTTTTTGTATTTTATGTTAGATGGCACTGTAAGTGAATGCAACAATAATGTTATAGTTTGTCGGCGTAGTTCAATTTATAACACAACGGTTAAAACTAATGTTGGGCTTTTTTAAATATTTTATTTATTTTCATAGAACACATCAACCGTATAAAATAGAAATTAACGTCTCAAGGAAGGAAAATACTTAACCCTCCTTTTTTGAAGTTCTGTAATCGGATAAAAAGTTGCCTATAATTAGCCCCGGGTCCCTAACTACCTATACACAAAATTTCATGGAAACCTCTTCACTAGTTTTTGCGTGAATGTTTAATACACTGACAGACAGACAGACAAAAAATCTGTAAACTACTACGATGGCTTCAGTACCCTTTGTTTAGTCCCCTGGACTTGATTTTTCTAGAAAATATTAGAATTACAAGCACGACCTTTCTACAGATTTATTATATGTATAGATAATATGGTTGTCCTCTTTTACAGATAAACCTTATTGGGAAAATTATTAAATTAAATTCTTCTAAAATATATCATTATTCTTCCCCAGTCGAGCCGATCAATTCATGCCGGCAGCCTAGCTCTATCTAAAAACACCTGTTTTATACTTATCTCCTAACGTATGTGACAGCTGACAATACATTTCCCATTTGCTGCAAATTAGTTTTTGCCTTGTAACTATTATTATTTGAACTCGTTCTCATCACTATTCCTTATCTTTCTATCGCTTGCTACCCAGTCTTTCCATCGCCACATATCCTTCAACAAGATAAGTTGGCATTCGATCAGGAGTGTAACACCCATGCCATACCTATGCCCGAAGTTGTGGAAACAATACACTTGAAGTTGTTAACGGGTATGAGTTCCTAGGACAAATTGTACGGCGAAGTAAGCCTCAATCATCTTGTTCGTCACGAATTATTAAAAACTTTTAAGGCATTATATAATTATTGTCAATTAATTATTCAGTGCATGTTGCCAATGGCAACTGAAGGAACTGAAATATATGCTCGTATTCACAATCTTTCAGTATAGGAGCAACGCTAATGAAAAGTAAGATGTTTCTGTGTTCGGTGTAGCAAACATTTTATCAAAAACACACGAGGAACTCCGTAGCGCGGCTGTGTGCAATGAGATTGATATTCATCCAGATACGAGTTTACCTATATACACAGTAGACCGCCGGAGCTGCGGTACAAAATGGCTACGAGCTCTAATAAAAAAGTATTTTTACGTGATGTAGGCCCAAAGCTTCTTATGGGATTTTTCTATACGATATAACGGACATGGGAGATGTATACAAGGTCGGAACTTGTACACATTTTCCCTGTCCGTTATTACAAAATAAATTTAACTGATACAAGCAATAATTAAATAAGTAGGGCATAATCATAACCTTTAATCTCTAATTATTACAAAATTATATAATAAATATGAATAAGAACGATTTATCTTACAATTTCTTTAAAATTTACAAAACGTATTTATACCTTTAGCAAAACAATTACATTGTTGCAGGCTCAAATTATACTAAACTTAAAACCTTCGATCAACAATACCAACTAGATAACGGGTCACGTACAAAATCATAGCTAAATACTGTCCGCATAATTATAAACTATGAAAAGACATAAATTAAATAACATTTAGTGTGAAATCAACCTTAAGTTATAACAAATAAAGTTCTTTTTCCCGTTATTGCCTTGCGAGCTACACTCTCACGTGCAAGAGCTCACGTCTCATGTGCGCTCTTATTTACTGAGATGGATTTCTTGCGCCGACCCGACATCTAGTTGGTATTGTTGATCGAAGGTTAAAACAATATTTTCTAAAACACACTGGCAACATCCACAACAATGCTTACTACCCTCGTCAACAATGGGACAATATTGTCTTTGGGAATAATATTTGCCCATTTCTTTGCCAAACACTTTTCGATGCTCACATGAGATATCTTTTGATCTGAAAAGATAAAATAATTTTCCAATAATATTTTAGATTATTTAACATTTTATTTTTGATTTTAGGCTCTCGCTATAAAATATATTGCACAACTATATGTTATATCATAGGACATAGCCATATGGAAGAGGCTCAGCCCTGCAAAGAAAGATAAGTCGGAGCGCTGAGTACGTTTCTAGTGATGTTGAAACTTGAGATCATGTAAAACTTCTTGAAACTCACTCGCGCACACGTATTTCCTTTTTTTTCTTTATCAGTCTTTACCTTACGGGCACACGGGGCCCGTGCCCAGGGGCCCCTATAATCACGGGGCCCCCCCGTGACGAAAGGCATCGGCCTGCTTGCGCTATACAATCTTTTTTATTTTAGTAAAATATAACCTGACAAAATAATTTATAGAGTAAATGAGGGCGTTGTCAGTGACTTTCTGGCAACCGTGGGCAGTGAGAAGCCACACATTGCTGGAAAAGTGGCATTGACAGATTTCCTAGGTAGAAAATATGTAGTTCCGCATTTCGCCGCCATCTAAACGTTTTTGTCGGACTGGCATTACTACATTTTTTTTTAAATCTATGTGTTAATTTATTATTTTTTTTAATCATGAGATAAAAATATTATTTCGTAATGTTTAATAAAAATAACACTTCAAAATAATAAACAGCAAATGATTTATTTAATATGATAATTTTCAACCACAAGTATTAGATTTTATAGCAAATAATTGTTACGATCCTTATTTTTAGATAACTGAAGCCTAAATTTTAATGTAAGAAATAAAAAGAATACACGTATTGATGTATAATATTTCCTTTCTTGAAAGAAAGTTTAGGAAAGAAACATTAAAGTTTACATTTTCCTAAGAAATTCTCGTCCCTGCTATGAAATCTGTCAAATATTTTACCTCATTGTAAAGTGGCGCCGCCCTGGCGGCAGATAAAGGTATGGATGCACTCATTAATTACATATTATTTGATTTTTACTAATTACTATACTAAATATAACATCATAGCAGAAAAATGTTTTTGTCATTCACTTTTTTTTAGTTTCCAACAGTGCCTCTAATTCTTATGTGCCCAAGGGTATGGTCCCGGTATGGCCTAAGACGGCGTTGCACATATGCACCTAAAACTATTTTGTCGGTAGGAAATGATTGCAGATGTATATGAATACGTGAGAACGTATTCATATACATCTCCATCATCGAGAAGTTGAGCATTATTTTGGCTTAGTTGTTCAGTGACTTGAAATATACGCAGCACTCCGTATTTCTTTCTTTGTTGATCTCAAAGAAGATGATCTTCTTTTTTCTTTATTTTGTTAAGAGCCTTGCATTTAGTAATGTTACTAATTGCAAGTTACTAATAATAGAGAGAATCAGATTACAAACCCGTCAAACTGATCCTCACATACATTGAGAACATGGGAGCTTGAATAATTTAAAACCGTTTAGTCAAATTGAAATCCATATCCGAAAAACAACCAATGTGCTTTTGTCACAGATAATCATAAACTATTGCTAACGTATATTTGCAAATAGTTTTGATTACACATAGAAATCTCTTGAGAAAATTTGCGTTCAAGAGATATTCCTGATCACCCTGTTATACTAACAGTATTTATTTGGTCGCGTTGCTTATTCAAAAAAAAGTTTTTGTTTATTAAGACCACAAAATGTTCAATACTAAATAATATGTTACCTGAGCATTTTGCCATATCGAGCGTGAAAAAAATGGCGCTTCTCTTAATGAGTGGGTTGAATTCGTCACAATAATAGTGAAAGGCCATTGCTAGTGGCGCAGGGATTTCATCGAGATCCTTAACAAGCATCACACCAGTTTTTGCTACATCTTCTCGATATTTTTCGATTAATTCACTATGAACTTTCATGTCGATCTTAGAACTATCTACGACCACATAGTTTTGGACATAACTTTCATTACCTGTAAAGAAATACAGTATTAGACAAATAGAAAAGTATGTTTGTAACTTATTCAATGGAGATTAACAAAGCGCCAAAATTGTATAATGAAAACGTATTTTAACCCCCGGCGAAAAAGAGAGTTGTTATAAGTTTGACCACTGTGCGCACGCAGACAGATAGTCTGTCAGTATGTAGCTTTTTAAACGAGTGAACCGATTTGGCTGAGGTTTTTTTTATTATAAAAGCAGATTTTTTAGCGGTCCTTCTTAAACACGTTTAATCAAAAACGGGTCAGCCGTATGAAGATATTCAGCTTTTTTGTTTCGGGGGTTTTTATAAATTTTCAATTTAAGTTATGGCTTGGTGTAAAATTTTAGACTATAAGAGTAGTGGGCCTACTACTCTTACTATAATAAAATCTTTACTCTTTTTGCATACTAGTCCGTCTTGTAAGGCAAAGTGCACTTGAAAAAAATATTCGTGACTTTCATTTGAAATTATTACAGCGCTTAAATAAACAATCACAAACAATTCGGTATGTTAACTTTTTAAGATATCGTTTTTGTTTTTGCTCTATATATAAGGTTATTATAATAATCAATATTTTAAATTAGGTTTGATTTCTAAGCAGAATTTAATTTTTAAAAACTTATCAAGTTTTTATTAGTCATAACGTCATAGGGATGAAGAGTTCGCTACCTTCACGAGGCATAAAAATGACGTCATCACTAATAAAAATCAAGTTTTTATTAGTGATGACGTCATAAGGTGGGCTAAAGAGTTCACTACCTTCATAACATACATAAACACTCACGCCTGTCACCCAGAGGGGTAGGCAGAGACTACGGACTTCCATATTTGGCACGATCCTGACATACCTCTTTCGCCTCCTTTACATCCATATATCTACGCATACATGCTCGTCGGTTAAGGGTACTTCTAACGTGGCCCATTTTCAAAATATCGCCAATAAGGTCGATAAACTTTTTTCTAGGGCGTCCCTTCCCGACTCGGCCGTTCACATCTGCCATATAAATTTGCTTTGTCACTCTTTCCTCATTCATTCTTTATACATGACCGAACCACCGAAGCATTCCTTTCTTAATCCTGGTCACAACATCATCTTGCATACCACATTTATCTCTTATCACGCAATTTCTCACCCTTCACTACCTACACTACCTTCTTCATTCATTCATTTCATTCATTCTTCACTACCTTCGTGAGGCATAAAAATAAATAAATTGACATTAAGGGGAAATATGACCTCAAATGGCTTAGCAAGATCCTCCGTTATGCCGAAAATATTGCAGCATTAATTTTGAAATAAATATATGTTAAAGTTGAGGATTAATGTTAAGTACTATGTTAGACGAAAACATGATTCCGTAAAAGTTTCTCGATAGAAATTTTTTTTAAAGCTTGGAACCGGGCGGCAGGAAACTAGCTTCAGGACGCCGATAGTTTAGGTAATTTCTTTTTACAGTGGAAATAATGGTAATTAAAAAAAACATAAGCCCTGCTCTATACTTAGTTCAGTTAGTAGGCAAAGTTTCATGATCTTATTTAAAGTATTTTATGAATAACAGCGGTTTATTGTTTAGTTTGGAGGTAATTTTGGATTTTTTTTCTATAGGGATAATTTTACGGAATCATGTTTTCGTCTAACATAGTACTTAACATTAATCCTCAACCTTAAAATATATTTATTTCAAAATTAATACTGCAATATTTTCCGCATAAAGCTTAGCACGCACTGTACTACTACGCACCATACTATTACTATGGGACGCATAAAAATCGCGCGTTTACAAACCGCGATCGAAATGTAGCAAGTTACGTTTTCAAAATCAGTCACTGAAAAAAGTCACTAACGCGTGCGCTAGTATAGAAAGCCATAGGTTACATTTTATGCGGTTTCAGACGTGCGGTTGACGGTGCTAAGCCTAACGGAGGATCTTGCTAAGCCATTTGAGGTTATATTTCCCCTTAACAGTTTCGGCTGAAACTTGACCGCCGCGCCGCGCCGGCGCATTGCTACTCTTTTATTGTATAAATAGTGGCTTGAAGTGAATTTTGAACCGGTAAAGTGGTGCGATTTTGTGTAATAAATGTCTGCGTTGTAAACTATTAGTTAATATATAAAATGTAAGTGCTCAGATAGTGGTGTGAACCTCAAGATGATGTGTATGCTTAGGCGCCTTGAGCTGTTGTAATCAACTGTCTGCAGGCTCTAGCTCGTCAAAATTGCCTAAAATTTCGCAATGTGTTGTATCAACATATTGTGAAGAATTTTGAAACAAATTATTATAAAGAATAGGTAATTTATTATTATTACTCGACACTGGTAAATGTACAAAATAACGAGTCCATTACGAAAGAAAAATAATAAACTCATTAATTTACATTATACATGTTTACTGTTTGCACCTATACATTATTAACCAATAATATATAGGTATAGGTTAAAATAAAATCGTAACAATAAGCCTAAAAGTAAGAAAACACGGTTATTTAAAATAATAGTAAAAAAATCTTAAAAACTTTGTATTAATTGTTGGAGTAGTTTCATCTGTTTGATAAATAAAATAAATCCAAACTTTAGAAAGATGGTTGGTCTACGCACGGGTTATTGTAAATCACATGAAGACATATTCGTATTTTTTTAATCACTTCACAAGCAAGAAAATATGTTTTTTTGCATGGAAAATGTTCTTTACATACCGAATTTAGAGCGTACCTAATTGTATCGTCAGCAATACGTAATGTACGTAAGTGAGTTTTTATAATATAAAACGAAAGCATGAACTGTTTTTATGTACGATATTGTAAATTTCATTGAGGGCTGATTACCGATAACTACGATTTAAAAAAATTGTGGTACATGTCGTTGAGACAGATTTACTTTTAAATTTAGAATTTATTTTAAAAAAAATTGTTACGTTAGTTATTAAACAAAAAGTGCTCATACACTTGTGGTGGTGTTTTCACTCCTATGCGGATTTACAGGCTGATAAATAAGAAAAATAGAATGTATTTACGCTTGTTTTTCTAAAGACGAAACCTTGAATCTATTACCCAGAGAGTGATTGGTACACAAAGTGAACAAATTGTGCCAGTGTAATATATTAAATTCTGAGTATAGTGTTATGTGCCTAGTTTATGGTTAATAGATGCTACTTTTTATGTGACAAAGCTATTTACAGTCCACCTCATAGTAATAGGCTACTGCACTCCATGGACATATGAAGCCAACTGGAACTATAAGTTCATACTGTGAAGATCTGAATAAAAATGAAAAAAAAAAAGATTTTAATCTGTGGGTAACCGCGGTTAACTATAACATCTCGATGTTGAACACCTCAGTCCATCCCGTGACCACGGGTGCTGTAAAGTGCTCGAAACGTCGGAAATATTAAAAATTATACACGATAAAATCCGCAAAAACTAGTTTTATTTAAATGTGTAGTGTTCGCGTAAATATAAGAAATCAGAAGTCAACTTCAAAGAAGGAAGTCTATATATAACGTGTATGTAGCCTTTTTTCTTGTCACCTCTGAAGACTTAAGATGGAATGCCTCAAAGCTTGTAATAATTATATTGACAATCTATACCTTTCAATCCAGAACACAGCAGTGCACTAACTGCAATTTGGCAGCAGAAAAGGTAAGGGTATGGAATTTTGCAATAGAAAAGGTAACAGCCTGGCCACGGGACATTCGCCGTAGCGAAAATTCACAAGGCGCGAACGGCGAGGCGTCTAGCGACTAAAACAAATGTATAGAAATGTATGGATCAAGCCACGCGTAGCTGCGAGTGGCGACGCGACCGGCGAAATTTACCGGGCGAATCGCGCGGGCGACTGGCGGCGCGGCGGACGACTGAAACAAATGTATGAATCAGTACGGTGCAAGCCACGGAGTCGGGCGGCAGACGCGTCGAAAACCGGCGAATAGTATAGGGAACAAAATATTTTAGTTGTTTTCGCCGCGAAAAATGCCGGGCCGACAAAAACAACTAAAATTCCATCCGCATTGACTTTTATCTCCAATTCTGGTTGAATATTAACAAGAATATAATCGCAGGTTTCGACACTCATTTTGGTATTCACTCGAAATTTTTTCTAGATGCATTCTATTTGCTGTGGGATTCTCCATCTATAACCCAATTCCTATTCAAATCATGTACTCCACAATCTCTTCCAAATACTATGTCTTGAATCAAAAAACAATTACTTTCTAAGTAATATCGAGATAACTATTAAAGACATTTCACTCTCGGCCTATCTGGTGACTTTCCGTGGCCCGCGAATTATCGCCCCGCCTGTCGCTTCGCCATTCGCGCCACCGCTCCCCGTGGCCAGCTTGCTGGTATTGTCAAATACTATTCAAAATTGTTTCACTAACAATTATAAAGAAAGTGAAAGACCGGGAAAAGACACTCGCGCAGAATACCAGCTTAAAATAACTGCTGTGTTTCGTGTGGAGACTGACGAGAATCGAAGACCTTTTTACTAGGAACGAGCTCCATCTTAGTTCACAGGGATCTTTATTGGGGAAAGATTCACGTGGACTCTCGTTTGTCAACTTCATGTATAAATTAAAAACAACTTTAAATCAATTACGTGCCCAACAGAGAAAACGTAACATTAATGAAACGAACGAAAGAGGGGTAGACAGAGACCACGGATTTCCATTTGGCGCGAGCCTGACGTACTTCTCTCGCTTATTTCTCATCCATATATCCCACGCTAAAATAATTCTTATGGCACTTATCATGCCCAGCTGCTTCACCAGCTTTCATGCTTTCATTGCTTTCATTAATTTATTCATACTTATCTGCTTATCTTATTACCTCCTTCCTTTTCTTTTCGACTTTCTGGATTGTCATATGTCTCCTCACACTTAAACACGCTTTCAAAGTATTGCTTCCATTCTGTTTGAATTTAAAACCTTGTTATTCAACTACAGGCATTCTCGTCTCGTACACCATTAATTCTAGGCTGTTCTGACTTTCCTCTGGCCGTTCTAAAGAGTTTCTAGAACATTTCGATATTTGCCTGAAACTTGTCACATAGTCTTATTTTTTACATTATAAAATGATAACAATTGAAAACATATGAATAATATGTTCAAAGGCGAACGAGCTTAATTTCTCCTCTGGGAAAGCGAAATAATTTTATAAGAAAAGCAAATAAGTAACAGCGTGCGTGGCGTACGTAACAAATAACAATCATTGTAGAAAATGCCTATTAATATTAACAATAAGTACAGTAAAAATCTGTTTAAGCCTAAATAATTTTAACATCTTTTATGTAATGGATTTCCGCAAAGTAACGCCTGATTATTTTAATTAGTACTAGTATTTTACTTAGTTTTTAAAGCATCTGGAAAAACGCTTCAGAGAATGAAAACTTTTAAAACATAAAAGATTTTAATATTGATATGGTCACTACAAGATGATATTATGTTAGCTAATTACGTAATAACTTAAGACAGAGGGACCCTTAAGTAGGGACTGAATAAATTAACCGACTTGGTATTACATGGATCTCACAACTTTTTACGATAGAAGAACTGAGTTGCGAGACTTGTTTTTTTTTACAAGTTATGTTTTTGATGGCATATTTCTTAAGGACACACATAATAGTCAAAGATCCGGCTGCAACATTAGCTACGTTCATGTAGTTTTTAATCAAAATCTAACTTTAATATATAATTACAAGTAGGTGAATACATTTTTGCTTAGTGTGCCTAACAAAATGTAGCAGCAAGTATTTATAATTAAAATAATGTCACGAGCTTGGGGTTCGTGACAATAAAAGCTGCCGATTGAATTACCGAAATGGACACTTTAATTACCGAACACCAATTACAACTTAAAACACATAAATAATAAAACACAATTCGCAGTTATATCTTTTTTTTTTTTATTTGGGTTTTTTTAATTTTTTTATACAATAAATTTTGGGGGGATTTTGTTTTTTTTTTCCAACAACATTTAAAATTTTTGTTTTATTCTATTTTTTTCTTTTGTTTTTTTTTTTGGGCGGTATAATTTTTTTTTTATTTTTTATTTTTTTTATTTTCTGTAAAATGTCAGTGTCATCTGGCTACTACTGGCTTTTACTCCGTTCACCTGTTACAGGCTATTATTTTCCAGGCGGTAAAAATAGTCAGTCAGTTTAATAGTCGTAAACGCGGTTGCTGATCATGAGGATTTGAATTACGAATCGAGCCAAATCAGTGTCAGGGTTTTTCTGTAAAGAAATTCTGAGTAGCTAGTAGTAAGTCCTGCGTTTGTTGCTCTTTCCGGTCGTGTCGGATTACCGTCCGAGACGACGACGAACGGGAGAATAGAGAGTGCCCCCGTGATTGCGTTTACACTCGAGCACTATAATCCTGTCATGGGACATTATTTATTTTCTCACATTTCTCTATCAATATTTACAGAACTTAATGAAGTGCGATGTTAAAAACGTCATAAACGTCATCATATATTTTGTATAATTCTCGTTAGCGAGCCAGCCTTCAAAATGTTAAATATCGTAAATACACCGTACGGTACGTCATAACAAAGTCAGCGCATTCGTTTAGTCCAAATGAGGTCTGAAATCAAAATTTTGGCACTCAACTTTGCATTTTTAAGTAAAACTAACAGAGTTAGGGAGGTTTTAAATTTAAGGGTTGAAAGTAAATGTAAAAAAATCGTAGGTAATAGTAAATAAACGAAATTCAATTTTTCTTTTAAATGCTTAAAAAAATCTAATTTTAAATTTTAGAGATACAGATTTTTTATTGTTAAAAAATTAAAACAAGTTGAAAAAAAATTATAGCTGTAAAAATGTTATACAGTATAAATTGTTTTTTTTTTCATTTCTCTTTAAACTTAGTATAACAAACAGTAAATAATTCACTTAGGATAATATATTTTGATATTAATACTGATATTGAGATTTTGATATATTTGTATGGATGTAATACATGTTTGTACTGTAAAACGGAAGCAGGGCTGGTAAAAACTCCATATTTTATGCGATTTTTGTGTACTTACATTGTCCACATATTAATTAGTTTTCAGTAATTCGTTCAGATTCAAGTTTCAGAGACAGATTTTTCATTGAGTACAACATACCTATTCCTACTTACATTAAAACGGGAAGGTACGAGTGTTAAGTACGGGGACTTTATTGAAAAATTGTATACCTATGGAATGACAACGCATTATCGTTTTGATTCTTAATTGAGGATAAATGTGGATGTCTATGGGCCACAGCATCCACTGTGGTGGACTGTGCGCTCGTTTATCACCCAATGCTATAAAAAACATAGGTACGTACAAAAAAAAAACAGGTACAGTAATTTACAGACGAATTGAAAAGCCCCTTTTTGAGATGAGCCATTTACATCCTGAAGCGGCGCTTTAATTATATTTTTTTAACAGTTACTTACCTGTGATAATGTTACGAATACTTTAACAATAGATTCCATCGCACTGCTCTAGCTCTAACTGGCGGACTTCACATAATGCTAAAATTTAATACCACGACTGATATTCAAGGAAACTGTGTGTTTGATACTTACGTAGATATTTGGCAGCAGCAAATGCAATATCATTAATAAAATTGTTTAGAAATATAGGATTGAAATTTGTGCTTTGACTATTATATGCGAATATAAAAGATCCTGCATCTTGTCTTTGAAATATTGTAGAGATTCCTGGAAGAAATTAAGTATTTTAAATGTTGCGAAAATTTACATATTGGCAGTATATAATAATCCTACTATCCGTATTTATGTTTTTTTGTTAAATTGTTTTATCATTATTTGCAATAATCACTACAGTTGGTGGTGTTTGAAGACAATTCAGGGACACAATAGAGTTAAAACTTAAATTCTTCAGTATAAGAATTTGAGCTTAGCGCACTTAGCGGTCAGCCGCCGTAGAGTCTATATTACCTGAGGATGCCTCGTGTAGAGGCGAAACAACGTTCGTATTTATCGTGCAATGGTGTGTCTTGACCTGGAATAACGTGGTGTTCAGAGTTCAGTGGTGCTTGGTCTAGTGGTGACGGAGTTAGTAGTATGCAATTCAGGGAGGGACGGGAGGTGCGCTTCAATCGGTAAGACATCATTTTATATGTTTAGCGGAAAGTTGCAAAGAAATTTATATTTTTATTTTTTATGATGATGATGATAATGACAACTGATGAATGTGCATTGGTTATCGTTATTTTACAAAAGCAATTACTAATAACTGCTATCTATTTGAAAATTTGGAGGTAGGTAAAATCTATACAAATAAATAAAATTGAAGTGTTTTTTTACTAAATGCATATGAAATTACATACGGCACTTAAAAACTTTTACGATTTGTTCCGGCTAATCTCTGAAATGGCACGACCGGTTTTAAAGGGACTACACACTGGCAGGTAGCTGATGTTATGAGGAGTAATTTAGGCTACTTTTATATTAGAAAAAGAATTAGGTTTACGAGCAAAAAAATTAACCCATCAAATCGTAATGCGCACGAAGTTGCGGGGAACAGCTGGTACTTTATAAGTATAAGTAACCAAGTAATCAAACCATGTATCTACTTCAGACAGGCCATCTGCTAAGCTTCATAAAAATATTGTTCTCTTTAACGAATTACTCTCATGATAGGTGGAGGTACAAAACCTTGGGCGGCGGACAATTTTGATGGAGCTTCTTTGCATACTTATACTTATTTTCTTTAATCAATAACAATATAACAAAACCACGGACTGATCAGATAAGCGATTGCTCCCTCCCCCTCCGTCTTACCTCGCATCACGAAAAATATCAGCGTATTAATAGTAGCTTAATGCTGCTGTGTTTTTTATGGTGAGTGTAAAAAACCAGAAACCCTTTTCACTACTAGAAACGAGGCATTTCATCTTAGTCCTCACGGGTTACAACGCATCTGCATTTTGATTCGTAACCGAGGATAAATGTAGATGTCTATGGGCCACTTACCATCAGGTAGACTGTGTGCTTGTCCGTCACTCTATCGTATAAAAAAACAATCTAAAAACGTTTCTAGCACTCATAATCCGTGCCATTTATCATAATAAGCTCTTTCGCAACATTAGAGAGTAAAGATATAACGAAACTTAGAAATGAAGCTATATGAACTTAGTGAAATAACCTAACAAGTATAAAAAGTTTTTGCATGAAAAAGGTTGTATTCTTACCTGTTCGAATCTGTAATATGGAGTCATCTGTTACTTTGTATTTCCCTCCCAAATATGTGATTTCATTATCAAAGTTATTTTTATCATAAATAACATGATTAATTTGATTATTTGCACTTAAAATATCACTATAATAACCAGCGACTGCAATAACTGCTATTAAGAGAGACACAAGTAAAAATTGTTTGTAGCTAGACTTATTTTCGATGTTTACATTAGTGTGATCTTGGAAACTATAAGGTGAAATATTCTGATGTGTTATATCACTTTCATTTAGTCTGGTTCTTTGTGGCGTAGCATATATTAGAGATTCGGAACTATTGAGGTTCTCTTCATCTAAATAATTAATCTCAGGAATATCATCGGAATCGTCTCTGTAACGGTAATGTGACTGAAAGACTGCAGGTGTTGACTTTGAAAGAACATCGCTGTAATAAAACAGACATTATCGGCTCACAACACTATTGTAAGTTGCTTGCAATAGAATACAAGGTAAAGCGCCATATAGGCATGTTATTATGTTTATTATGATTGATACAGCAATAAACAAAGCGGTTATGAGATGATAATGTACTGAAAAAATACAAAAATGAAGTAATGATTATAGATATTAGCATTAGTTCAAATAAATATTAAATATCCCATCAAATTTATATGAGATAAATTTCTATAAGTGAATCTGTCGTCATTTAAGTAACCTAGTACCAATTTATTAAAATATATGATGATAATAAGGAATACATAAAAATGATAGTATAACAACAAATTATTACATTATATTAGTCATCAATCGTCAGGTATGAATTTCACGACTCCGTGGCGCAGTGGCTTAACAATGAGTGGCTGCGCTGGGGAGCGGGTATATATACCATTACCACACGGAACAAGTATTTGTATGGCCTACAAATAATTGTTCCGGGTCTGGATGTTTGTCCTTGTGCAATTTATGTTTGTAAACTGCCACCACGATATAGGAGAAAATCCTAGTGTAGGGATAACGTATTTTTAAAAAGAAAAAAAATTTATAGAATAAAATACAACATAAGTTACAAAATGACAGTTGAATGCTCAGAATACAGAAAAAAACGTAAGCTACATTCAGCTGTAATAATTACATGCCTCATGCCTTACACCGTGTCCTAAAACAAAGCAAACATCCTGCACCCATCCCACTTCCCACCCGTGTAGCTCAGTAAGTTTATACAGAACTTACCGCTTTTTGGGGTGATAACATTATAGGTAAGATAATAATAATAAAATCATTATTATCCATTCCTAAACATATTAATTTTATATAAATAACATCAAGAAATAAAAATAATTACTTAAAATAAAATATGGTTTCAGTAAGGTAACTAAACATTAAATTTCCCTTTTATGGTTAAGCTTTTTAAATTTAGACTTTGAACTAATTATCTGAAATTTACACTTGATAAATAATTAATAGCTGCTCTATTAAGTCTTCTCAAACCTCACTTAAGTGCGTTTTCTTTGTATTATATTTGTCCCCTTTGTTTTTCTTTTTCTATGTAATTTATTGCGAAAATAAACTGTTTTATTATACATAATCTAAAAAAGTTTTTAGAGGTGGAAACATTCATATGTTTTTGATTTGCTGGAAAATATTCACTTTAATTTAAAAAAATATAACATACTAAGTTATCAAAGTACTATATATATGACGGAATATTTGCACCAGAAGTATTTTTTAAAACTATGACGTCATCATTGATGACGTCATTATTGAGATTTCTAGTTTCACTCATTATTGTTTTCACAATTAACGATTTTATAAGTATTCACTATTGTTCACAATTTATAGTTCGCGAATTCAACTAACAGTCCGAACAGCACGACAGCTCGAGCAAGAATGAATCCTGTCCCTTTTTTTTTTTTTTGCGCCCGAAGCAATTAAAGGGCTACCCTATACGTAGGGAGGCGGAAAATGCATTACGCATACCACGATAGCCGGTCTATCGTGGTTATGAGGGGCTCACTGTCCTACCGGGGACCCTAAGTGATACCCTCTAAAAACCGCCTTTGGGGACAGGCAACCGGCTGATTAAGCTCTATTGTGCCTTATCATGAGCGACCCTCTTTTGGGAAAAGAGGGCGCAGGCGGCTAAGTGCCGCTGAGGGAGTGCCTACGAAGGCAAATTAATGTTAGATATTACAATAATTTTATTTAATTAGAGTTGGCCTGAGCCGCCAGGAGACAGTTCAGGTCGTTTGAAAGTTTATTAGGCGGGTCCGAGAGAGAGTTTCTCGGCCTGCGGACACGATAGCGAGAGGGGGGTGGGGCTGCATAAGAAGCTGCCTCACGAATTAAATGGTTTGGGTGCGACTCTGAGGCTTTGAAGAAGTTCTCAGAGAGTTTTTTAAGAAATCGTTGAATTGTTGGGAGCTCTAAGTCCCGATGAAGGTCGGCATTGCGGACGTACCACGGTGCGTTCGCAGCTCGACGACAGAAGAGGTGAATCCTGTCCCAGCCGTCGCGCGCCTTTTAAACTGAATGCGAGCGCAAGCCATCCCCACTTCCTGCGCTTTGAGAATGATTACCTTCAAATTGTTATAGCGACAACCCGCATTTAATGATATTGTGAATTAAAGCACTTTAAATTATTTATCTGGTAACAATAATCAACTAATTATAAAAATAAAGACACATGTTTTTTTAGCTTATAACGTTATTTCAGAAGTTGAAATAACGTCTATTGATTTTTAAATGAATAATAATTGTTTAAGTAATGCGCTGATACGTCGCTTATACTTTGTTGCGCCGATACGGCCATTCTGATTGGTGGTGCGTGCTCAGCACCTACCAATTTTTTTTACAGCTTTACTGCTGTTTGTTTATTATTTGTGTTTCGACCATACATCACGTCTACACACATAATTCTTGTCGTCTCGTAGAATGGAAATGGAGTGATGCTGTGTTCTGGGCGGTCCCGTTCGCCGTGGTACACAGGGTACACAGGGGCTCTATAGGAATTAGGATAAGGTCGATGCTGTGTTATACACAGTGGCTCTAAAATAGAAAATAGAATTTTTATTTTAATTAATTTTTTTTTGTTGATTCTTACAGCTTTACTGCTGTTTGTTTATTATTTGTGTTTCGACCATACATAACGTCTACACACATAATTTTCGTCGCCTCATAGAATGGAAATTTATTTATTTATTTATTTATTTATTTATTTAACACCAACAAGACATACACTAACAAAAGCATAATATTTTTGCAAAAAATCATAAAAACTAAGCGTAGACTTAATTATAGGTGTTACACACATTTCATTACAAAAAAATAGACACAAGTAAAACATATGCAGTGAATTAAATTGAATACAAAAATTAAGAGATCAATAAATATATCAGAATTTAGTGTTATATAATTAATTAAATTAAATCATGCATATTCCACTATTGTTATTAACATTAGAAATTTTATGAACGTTAAACATAACAAAAATAAAATCATTAATAAATTATAATATACAATCATTTCCTAATCACAATTTAGTTTAAAGAAAAATAATATAATTTTACTGTGAATTACAATTATTTGAGGAATATAAATGTAATAAATCACATAATGATTTCTTATATTTACGCGAACATTGCACATAATTAAAACTACTTTTACGGATTTTATCGCGTTTATTTTTTTTTTCTTTTTATTTTTAATTCCCGACGTTTCGGGCGCTTTCCAGCACCCATGGTCACGGGGGACTGAGATGACTGACGTCCCGATGTCATTGTTAAACCCGGAGTACCTTCAGCTTTTTTAATTATTGTTTATGGTCCGATCTATGCAAAATGAACTGACTATGTCCTGAGGTCTTGCAGTGGTATGCTTGGGTTTAGTTTTAATTTTATTGATTATAGGATCCCAAGCAGGTGGTAGTACCCAGCCTCCTTCTCTATTGAAATTAGGATGTTTTTTAATTTCAATAGCCTCACGTATCATCCTTGGTAGGAATCGGTGTTCTTTCGCGAGGATTTGTGGTCTATCAAATCTGATGTAATGGTTGGGGCCGTCTAGGATATGATCACAAACTGCAGACTTCCCGGAACGTTGATGCTTCACATCAGCTATATGTTCTTTTACGCGGGTCCTAATTGATCTTTTGGTTTGTCCTATATATCAAGCAAGTTCTGCACGACAACAAGCTTCGGGTCCCGCGCCTCCGTCACAGTGACCGAGTGAAGCCGGCCACAGTCGAGCGTGTGCCTGCTGTACTACCATATGTCAGAGGTGTCACAGACAAGATTGGCTATATCTTGAAGCGAGCTTCTATTAGAACATTCTACAAGCCGCCGAAGAAGATTAGTCAGTACCTACCATCCGTCAAGTGTCATATTCCTCTACAAGATGCAGGAGTGTACAAGCTTGATTGTGAATGTGGTCTCTCTTATATAGGACAAACCAAAAGATCAATTAGGACCCGCGTAAAAGAACATATAGCTGATGTGAAGCATCAACGTTCCGGGAAGTCTGCAGTTTGTGATCATATCCTAGACGGCCCCAACCATTACATCAGATTTGATAGACCACAAATGCTCGCGAAAGAACACCGATTCCTACCAAGGATGATACGTGAGGCTATTGAAATTAAAAAACATCCTAATTTTAATAGAGAAGGAGGCTGGGTACTACCACCTGCTTGGGATCCTATAATCAATAAAATTAAAACTAAACCCAAGCATACCACTGCAAGACCTCAGGACATAGTCAGTTCATTTTGCATAGATCGGACCATAAACAATAATTAAAAAAGCTGAAGGTACTCCGGGTTTAACAATGACATCGGGACGTCAGTCATCTCAGTCCCCCGTGACCATGGGTGCTGGAAAGCGCCCGAAACGTCGGGAATTAAAAATAAAAAGTAAAAAATAAACGCGATAAAATCCGTAAAAGTAGTTTTAATTATGTAATAAATCACGTTTAAATTTCCAAAAATTATCTGAAAATATGTCAATATCAACTTTTCTATCTTTATTTTTGTTATCATTAGTCATTATGGCACCAATACTATTCTTATGTGATAATTTATATATAGCATTAAAACTCAACATCAGTCTATTAATCGGAGAATAGCGCGCTTGACGAGAACGTGTGCTCTTTTCTACGAATGGTATATAAGACGACGGCCTTTTTGACTTCAATGCGGTACGAAAATTTAATTTGGCTAGTAAGTAAGAACTATCAATGACGCCATTCACCAACTTATACAAGAAAATAAGGTCAAGGAGCTGTCTTCGATTCGAAAGTGGCTGAAGCTTAAAGTAATTTAGCTTATCTTCGTAAGTTCTAAGAGTTTTAACTAGGTTATGATCGTAAGATAAATGCAAAAGAAATCTCTTTTGTATCCTTTCAATTCTATGTGAGTAAATATTAAAGTGGGGATTCCATACTACGCTGCAG